GTTGAGCAGAGCTAGAGAGTTGGGTCTAATTCAAGGGGCTGTGGTGGGTTCTAGTGGGTTAAGAATCATGCACTTGCAATTTGCGGATGATACGATTTTGTTCTGTAATGCGGATAAAGAGGAGGTGGTCAACATTAAAAGAATTCTAAGATGCTTTGAGATTGTATCAGGTCTGAGAATTAATTATCACAAGAGTGTCATCTGTGGGGTTGGGGTAGATGAGGGTTTGCTGCAGGAGTTTGCTTCTTTTTTAAATTGTCTTCATCATAAATTGCCTCTCAAATACTTGGGGCTTCCTTTGGGGGCTAATCCTAGCAAGAGGAGTACTTGGAAACCTGTTCTTGATAAGTTCAAACAAAAATTGTCCACATGGAAGAGAAGGCTGTTATCTTTTGCTGGGCGCTTAACTCTTATTAAATCAGTAATGTCTAATCTGCCCATTTACTATCTCTCATTGTTCAGAATTCTTGCTGGTGTGGCAATTCGGCGAGTCTATCAACCATGGGGTCGACATTGCTCCAAATTTGGTGATGATTCTAGTATTCGCGGTGGTCAGAATCGTCTTCTCGTTGGTCCAGTGAGTATTGGTCTCTCAGGTAAAGCTCTCTACCGAACGAAACGCCCTCTCCCACTTTTCGTAATGGAAGAGATCCACAAAATTATTTTTTGATGTCTAAGGTCCTTCAACCCCAAACTCATATATCACAGAGAAATTTAAGAAGTCTCTCTCTTCTCACTCTCTGCTCTCTCTGCTCTCTCTCTCTCTCTCTCTCTCCGTGGTATGACATTTAACCCTAATTTTATGTATTTATTTTTTGTGTTTGTGAAAATGTGATGTGTTTTAATGTCTCCTCATAATCAATGCCATATTCTTGGTTGAAGCCTTTGGCAACAAGACGAGCTTTGTAGCGTTCAATAGAGCCATCAGAATGTGTTTTGATTTTGTAAACCCATTTGCAGCCAATTGCAGTCTTGCCAGGAGGAAGATCAACAAGATCCCAAGTATGAGCTTTGTCCAAGGCTTGGAGTTCATCAGTCATAGCTTGCTGCCAAAGAGGATTAGTACAAGCCTCACGATAGGAGGTAGGTTCATAAGTAGAGAAGGCAGCAGATCCAACAATATAATCACGAAGATGGAGAGGAGGTTGAGTTACCCGGCGTGGTCGACCCGTAGGAGGATCGGTGGGAGGAAGAACCGGTGGAGAAAGAGGTGTGGCAATAAGAGGTAGACCTTCAGAGGGAGCAGGCTGGACGGGATCAGGAGTGAGCAAGGGCGTCTCGATGAAGGAGGAACCTGTATCAAAATCAGCAGAGAAAAGATCGATGGAAGGATTAATAAATAGTACAGGAGTGGAAAGTGCGGGTAAGTGAAATGAGGAGAGCGAGGAAAACATTTGGTGTTCCCAGAAAACGACATGGCGAGAGATACGAAGACGTTTAGAGAGAGGATCCCAACAGCGAAAGCCTTTATGTTCAATTCCATATCCAAGAAAGCAACAAAGACGAGAACGAGGTTCAAGTTTGGTGTGTTCATGAGATTGAAGAAGAACAAAGCAGGCAGAGCCAAAAACCCGGAGATTGGCGTAAGGAGGGGGAGTGCCATGCAGACGTTCAAAGGGAGTTAGATTATGGATGACAGGGGTAGGAGCACAGTTGATAGTGTAAACAGCAGTGAGGGCAGCTTCCCCCCAAAAGTGTTCAGGACAGGAAGAAGAGAGAAGGAGAGCACGAGTAGTGTCAAGGATATGCCTATGTTTCCGTTCAGCGCGGCCATTTTGCTGGGACGTGCCAGCACAAGAACGATGAGGCAGTGTACCATGATGCTGAAGAAAGGAAAGGAAATCTGAATCCCGATATTCCATAGCATTGTCAGAGCGAAAAATTTTGATGGCTTTAGAGAATTGGGTGTGGACCATTTGGGCAAAGCGATAATAAATGTGTTTAAGTTCAGACCGATGTTTCATGAGAAAAAGCCAAGTAAATCGGGAAAAATCATCAATAAAGACAACAAAATAACGAGATCCCCCCATAGTAGTAGTAGGGGAGGGTCCCCAAATATCCGAATGTATAAGATCAAAAGGTGCAAGGGAAACAGAAGTACTTTTATTAAATGATAAAGCAGGTTGTTTGGCAAGTTGACAGGGTATACAATCGAAATGATCGGGAATTACATGACCCAACTGTCCACTAGAAACCAAAGACTTTAAGCGATTAACAGAAATATGCCCTAAGCGACAATGCCAAAGATGAAAGGGAGATAATGAGGAAGTAGATGTACAAGCAGCGATCTGAGGAGAGGTAGGAACATGAAGGTGAATGAGTTCATAGAGACGTCCACGCTTACAGCCGATCCCAATAGTCTGCCCCGTCTGAGGGTCCTGTACCAAACAATCAGTAGCAGAAAATGTAACAGTTAGACCAAGTTCACATAATTGACCAATGTAAATAAGGTTTAAGGTGAGAGCAGGGATATGATAAACTTGAGGTATAGATAAAGAAGAGGTGGAAACAGTACCAACATGACGGACAGACATGAGGGAACCATTAGCAGTATGAATGGAGGGAAAAGGAGGAGATAAGGAGGAGGAAGAAAAGATAGTAGAACTGGAGGTCATATGATTACAACAGGCAGAGTCAAAATACCAAGAAGAGTTACCTGGGATTACAGACAAAGCAGTAGGAGGAGGTATACCAGAAGGGGAGAGAAGTTGTTTGAGCATGGCCTCTACATCCGTCGAAGAAAAGCGAGGGGTAGATGGAGCAGGTGACTCAGAGAACCCCGCAGAGGCAGAAGCATCAGTGTGAGGAGACTGATTCCTGGAAGCAGCAGCAGCAGTGTGATGAAACTGATTCCCGGAAGCAGCAGTAGCAGTGTGATGAGACTGATTCCTGGAACGATGAAAGCTTCCCCGGGAAGAGCCACCGCGAGAGGAGTGGCTATTGGAGGATGATCGGGAAGGATTGCGAAAACAATCCTGCTGCAGATGACCAGGACCAAGTTTGTTGCAGTAGCGGCAAGATCTGACGGGGCAGTTGACCAGGAGATGGGTTGAAGGAAGGCCCCGATTCTGACAATAGAGGCAAGCAGTGGTCTGCTGGGTAAATGATGGCCGGGACGGAGGAGTGGCAAGAACAGAGTCCACATGATGAGTTTGAAGTGTACCAAGACGAGTCTCCTCTGAGAGCAACTCAGAAATTGCTTGTTCAAGAGTGGGCAATGGATGACGATGAAGCAGAGAGGCACGTACGGGCTCAAAGGAGGAAGTAAGAGCCATAAGAAAATGCACCAACCTTTGCTGGTTGCGATAGATAGTAAATAAAACAGCATCTTCAGGGGTATGCCAAGTTGGTTCTGAAAGAGCAAGCTGATCCCAAACAGAGTACATTTGAGAAAGGAAGTCATTAATGGACTGAGTGGATTCTTGGCGCATGCGATGAAGTTGGTTCTGAAGTTGATATTGATGGGCAAGACCAGTAGTCTGGTATCGTTCCTTCAAAAAATCGCAGATTTTTTTTGCAGGGGTAGTTACAGAGTCAAGCTGAAAGCGACCAAACTGAAGACTGATCAAAAGACTCCTTTCGGAGTCCTGAATGCAGTCATTTCTTCATCTTCAGGTGCCATTCGGATTTGATTGTATCCTGAATATCCATCCATAAAAGACAAGGTTTCATACCCAGTAGTTGCATCTACAAGAAGCTCAGTGATGGGCAAGGGAAAGTCATCTTTAGGACAAGCCTCATTGAGATCACGGAAATCAATGCAGACCCTTATTTGACCATTCTTTTTCTTGACCGGCACTATGTTTGCTAGCCAGGTTGGATATTGGACTTCCCTAATGAATCCTGCATTAATAAGCTTGTCGACTTCGGCTTCAATTTGGGCTGTAAGCTCTGGTCGAGTTCGCCTCTGAGGCTGTTTAATTGGCTGTTTCTCAGGGTGAATTGCAAGCTTATGGACTGCAATCTCTGGATTAAGACCAGGCATCTCACTATAGTTCCATGCAAATATATCACGATACTCCCTTAAAAAGTTAGCAGAGTGCAGGGAGGAGCACGTTAGCAGGAAGGCGGCGGCGCACGTTAGCGACAGGCGCAGGCGCGGCGCACGGTAGCCGTTTTGGCGCACGCGGGTGCACTGTAGTGAAGCGGCGCACGAAAGGCGCACAGTAGCAGGCGCGGCGTACGGGAGTGGTAGGGCTGACGTCAGCCGCGGTTGTGTGGGCGCGTGGGGGCGCGTGGCGGAAGTGAGTAGCAACAGAAGGCGCGTGCGGGCGCGTGTGAGAGTGGTGGCGGAGCTGGTGACGCGCAGAAGACAAAGGCGGCGCGTGTGGGCGCGTGGAGGGTGTTCTGAGAACGGACTTGGTGCCGTTGGAATCGTGAGGAAATTCCGAGCGGTTTGATGTATGCCACTGTGTACGGGACTACACACCAAAATCGAAAATTGCCAGAAATGTAACACTGGACTCTGATACCATGAAACAATAATTTGAGAGAGTGATAGAGGATAGAGAGAGAGAGAAAGAGACACTGAATTATTCAGTTATTACATATCTTACAAGGAGATGTACACTCTCTTTTATAGAGAGGAAAAGATACATAGGGTGCCAATTAGCACCGAAAGCAGAAAGCAAAGGGGGAACACTCATTATGAAAGCTAGACATAATGATACACTAACAATTATGACTAACACTACTAGATGTGAGTCCAGATCCTCTGCAGTTGTTTCCTGCAGTGGTTCCTGCTGTGGTGCCAAAACGACGTCGTTTTGGAACCTCCTTCCTTTTTTTTTTTCTTTCCCCAGCTCCTCTCTTGCACTCCATTCCCAACTCTGAGACCCAAATCAGAGAGATACCACAAGGATGACAGAGAAGAAGAAGGAAAGAAGGAAGAGAAAGGGAAATCACCGGCATCACCAACGAGACCCTTCACCTCCTTACCTCATCGGAAATCTCTCATGCTACCGTCGCCGCTGTCACAGCCCCCAAAGCCTCTGAAAAAAATGGGCTTCATCTTCTTCTCACCATTCAATTTGTTCCATGATTTGATGAAGACAAAACCATTAGAACGAAGGCGTTTGCTTGGTCTGGAAGTTCATGATAAATATGTTGGCCTTGCTGTTTCAGATACGAACAACAAGATTGTTTCACCTCTGAGGTATGAAACTTCATTGAACACAATAAGTTTCAATATTTTCATGCTCTCTCCTGGGCATTTCATGGGAAGTTTTATGTATTTTTTCAGCAGGACATATGTAACAAGTACCCACTATTGCTATAAAATTTGCTAGCATGTTATGATCTACATAGAGTCAAGGATATTTTCTATGTGTTTTTCTGGGAACATACTGAGTGCTACCTAACACGTTGGTAAAACTAATTTTTGCTTGGTCTGCTAGGTTCTTGTTTCCCTTTGCAAATTGAACGTTAATCAGAACATTCATTCTTGCTATCAGCAAGAAATTTCATAACAGTTAAAGTAAATAAACGATTAGTCTATTTGCTTGTGAAATTGGCGTTGATTTTACCAGTCGCGACTGCAACGGTGGAAAGAGCATTTTCAGCAATGAAATTCATAAAGAATCAATTGCGTAACCGAATGGGAGATCAATGGTTGAATGATTGTTTGGTTACATATATTGAGAAAGATGTATTTGATAGTGTTGATAATGAGCTTATTATGCAACGATTTCAAAATATGAAATCTCGTCGTGATCAATTGTAGAAACTCATGTATTAGCATGTCTTTTTGTTTAAACAATAGTATCAATATATTGAAATATTTTTGTTTATAATTTCATAATTTAAATTAATTTGTTGATTTTCTTTCTCCATAGGTGATACAATAATTAATGTGAATTTTCTGTAAGATATATGACATTTAAGTTTTTAATTGACACCATTAACAAAAATTCCTAGAGTCACCACTACTCATAACAACACAACAATTGCACGGTACCTAACTATTGTGGTGGTATATGGTTCAAGCTATTGTGCTGGTATATGGTTTATACTAGAATCAAGGGCAATTGCACGGTAGCTAGCTCGCAAGCACGCAAACACTAGACTTGATCATCTTCGATTAAGTAACCTTCAGAATCTGCTATTGTTGAAACATGGATGGAAGTGGAGGCACTCCAATTCAATCAACCAACATTAACCATTATTTACCAAACATTGATGAATCCATTAGAAGGCATTCCTACCAATGAGGAGGTCATCAAGGCCGAGACTTTGAAGCTTGAGAAAGTATTCAATGTGTATGAGAAGAGATTGACAAAATCCAAGTACCTTGCTGGTGACTGTTACACCTTACCCAATCTAACCCACATACCAAAACTAGTTTTCTTCATGAGAAGCCCCAAGGCAAGTATGGTGACCTCTTGGCCTCACTTGAGTGCTTGGTGGAGTGATATTTCCTCACGGCCAGCTTCCATCAAAGTAGCAGAGGATCTCTAAGTTAGACTAATGTTGTGAAGATTAAAATTTTAATATGTGTGCGGTATGGGGTTGATTATTGTTATGAGTATGAAAAAAATACAGTGCTTTAAATTGCGTCTGTAATTGAATTTTCAAATTTTCTTATTTTCATATTGAATTTGCTTATAATATTAGGTGTCCTGAGCGTATTATGACGATCCATCCCATATTTTATGTATTGTATCAATAAAATTATAGGACATATTATATTTTTCTAATTCTCAAAAGTAATCAATGTAAATTACATCATAATGAGATGAAATGCTTAGGAGAAAAACATCCTAAATATAGTGTCACACTTTTTTTCTTTTCTTTTATTTTTTAGTAAGTGTGCTATATCACTTTATTTAATAAGGATGAATTACACTTATATTCATACATTTTGTATCAAATTTTACTTTAATTTTTCATTTTGTCTATTGTAACAATAAACTCATTGCACTTTTAATCAAATAAGAATATATGATTTCCGATAATTTAATATTAAATTGCTTAATTACCACGAGACCATTTGATGAGAAATTTTTCAAAATAATTTTTTTTTTCTTTTTCTTTTTTCAATATAATTTTCATTGTATTTTTTTAATCTATAATTTTCATTGTATTTTTTTCAAGAAGAGAGTATGCAATAATTTAGTGAGATTTCTATTTTTTCAAATGTAAAAAAGCACCAGCGTCACAATACCCTTTTGAACATGTAATAATTGTTGTTGATCTTCATTTTATTTTTAGATATCTATTTTTTTTTCTAATGAAAGAAAGTACCATCATCACAATACCATCTTGAGTATGCAATAATTGTTCATCATCTTCTCTCTCTCTCTCTGAGATTCTCATGGCTGTCCTGCAGAAGGTCTATGGAACCTTAACATCTCCACCAACATTGGCGCTGTTTGGGAAAAAAGAGTTGAGGCTATTATAGCCTCATTTGTGAAATAAGCCAAAAAGCTTCTCAATCAAAGTTTTTCAAAAAAAAAATATATATATATATATAGGCTGGCAGTGCTGTCACTGTGACAGAGCCTACCACTGACAGGTAGGGAAATTACAATTTCGCCCCTTTATATTTATTTTAAAAAATGTGAGATTAAGAATAAATTTGTCATTTTAACTTCAAATATCATTTCAACACATTTTTCAATACACCAACTCAAATAAAAATCCATCCCATCTTTCCAAACACAAACTAAAATAACCTACTAAAATAGTCAAAAAAACCTCTAAAATAACCACTTCTCAAACGAGGCCATTAAGAGTTTTGGCATCTCTCTATGTGCATGACTTAGACTTTGAGTTTGTACCCATTAACATTGAAGCTGGGGAGCACAAACAAGAGCCTTTTCTTTCTCTCAATGTATTTTTTCTGTCTCTCTCTCTCTCTCTCTCTCTCTCTCTCTCTCTCACACACACACACATAATTAAGTATAATTTTCAATCAATTTGTCTCAGATTCATATATTTAGTTTTCGAGTTTTTCTTGTTATATTTTTGTGTGGTTAATTTGATGACTTCTTTTACTAGCCATTTGCTGAGGTACCGGCATTTCAAGATGGAGACTTGACTTTATTTGGTAAGTGATTCCCAAATCTCCATCCTTCAACTATACACACACATAATGGATTAGTAGAGCCGTACAGATTTAGGATAAAATCTAATATTTCAATTTTGAGTCAGCTCAACGAATCACTGGAGGTTTATTTAGCCACTAATTTCAAGATCTCGAAATTAGAATTTTTATGCAAAAAATTAAGATGATAAATTTTGTGAGATCATGATCTATATATATCAAATAATTATTGAATGTAATTTTTGTGCAGAGTCAAGGGCTATAATGAGATTCATAGCCTTTGCCTATCCAAAACCAGGTAAAGAGCACATATTCAAAGACCCATTAACACAAGGTGTTGTGGCTGCCTGGATTGATGTGCAAGATCATCAATTCAATCCTCCAGCTCTGAAGCTTATCAATGAGCTAATCTTCAAGCCCAAAAATGGATTCACACCCGACACAACCGCGGTGGCAGAGGAGGAAGCAAAATTAGCTAAGGTGCTGGACATCTACGAAGAGCGACTTGGTGAATCGGAGTACTTGGGAGGAGAAAAATTCACTTCCGCAGATCTAACTCACCTTCCTAACTTGTACTATCTCATGCAGACGCCAATGAATCGACTCATTGAGTCACGCCCAAGGGTTAGGGCATGGTGTGCAAGTATTATGGCTAGGCCGGCTTGGATGAACCGGGGTCAAGTAGTCCTTTTTCTTCTAAAAGCAGGATGGACAAATCCATTACATGATTCTAGATTTTCAATTCTAGAAATACATTCTTTCATCCTCTTCAAAAGGGCAGGCATAGCAGAGAAATTACTAGATATCTTCTGTCTGAGAAATCGTGTTTTCTCGGCAGTCTCTTGATCTTCTTCTGCTAGTGGGGGCCCTTTACCTGATTCAATGGGTCCTCCTGCATCTGTAAGATGCAGAAATGGTCAGTTTCTTACAATGTGAAGGATACAACAGAACCGAAGCAATGCGAGGAAGCCATCAAAAATCTTGAAAGCAATTACCATGAATCCATACATTAGATTAAGCATATTCCACTAAAAGAAAACAAAATGAATAAAAGAAACCATTTTTAGCATATTTACATTTTGTTTTTCCTTGCTTTACAAGAGGAGCGTGAAAGAGCCAAAACCTTGTATTTGACAATATAGTGTAAACACCATTACAGAAAACTTGTTAGTTGAAGCCAAAAAGCTTTTATTTCTAGAAGATATATTTTTTTTTTTTTCCTTCCCCCTGAGCTTAGCTTTTTCTTCCTGCAACCCCAATCACCACAAACTCATGGACCACCTCCAGCACAGACAGTGCCACCACCGCAACTATAAAAGTTGTTTACCTTCTAGGTTGGCTTGTGCAAGACAAGCAACAACTCATCGCAGCTAAACTCCAAAATTATGCATGGGACATGTGCACGCCTAATCAAGCTTGTTCGTCCAAATAAAACTCAAGTATGTAGGATAGTGTGAGCATGATACAGTCGCAAAAACTTTTGTGCATAACTAACTCCTAATAATCAACATTATATTCCTTTTTAAGCTCAAGGATATACTTTTTCTATAATTTTCCCTTCAATGGTCCCCCATTTCCCTCATTGCGAGACTTCTTTTTAAAGAATATTAACTGGTGTTGTGAAAGGCGCTCCTAGGCGCAAGGCGCAGTGAGGTGCCCAAGGTGAGGCAAATTGAAGAAGGCGAGCGCCTTTATGGGCTTTTTTTTCTCCTGATTAAAATCAACGTTCATATCAGTTTTTTTGGGCTCGTCTCCTGCTCTCCAGTCTGTTCTTAGGATACCACTCAAGTGATAAATTAATAGCCATGCTACTCAACATTCATGCACTAGCTTATCTTGAGAAACTAAGAATTGTTACCATTCAATTGTGTCCAACAAAATATCTATAATATTATATAAAGACAACACCCATTCTGGTGTGGAAACCCCATTTTTTGAAGCCAGGTCGTGCTATTTTTGTTTCCAAAAAACCAAGAAGATATCAGTCCGGCCCAATAAAAAGTCCAAATATGTAAATTCAATACCTATTACAGTTAACTCACCCAAATTCCTCCATATCTATGGCAGTTTCAACTTTCAACCGCCTGTATAAAACTTTTACAATCACACATTTTAAACCCCCAAAAAAACACACATTGCATGTATGTACCTATATGTAAAGTACTCTTTGATTATTGGGTAAGAATCCCAGTAGGGCTAAACTCTAATTTTAAGAAGAACACTTGCCATGCTCTGAATAATGAAGGTCATGTTTCATCTACACACATACATAAGCTGATACCTACTTGCAAAAGAAACTCAACCACACATCTTTAGATTGAAAAACAACAATGACAGCAAAATTTTCAAGCTCATGCCACTCTAAGGGCTAACATATTCAAAGATATAGATACACAATTAGTACCCCAAAAAAAAAAACAAAAACAAAAACAAAATCCACTAACTACAATTAATTAATGTAAGAAAACTTAGCAATCAAATTTATTGTTATTTCTATTTGAAAAAAAGTACAAATTGGGGAACATTTTGTTCATGATATGAAAAACCCATTAGAGCAAACCATACAAAGAACAAATTGAGAGTAAAATGTACCTGGGTTGGGGTTACCAGAGGGTCCTGGCTCGGACCCATCATTGAAATGGGTCGAAAGAAGGGGTCTCTGAGCAGAAAGAGTAGAAACGAGAGTGTTCTTGAGCTGATCTGGTAGTGTAGTTCTGTACTTGAGTATTCTGTGACCCATTTGATTCACCTCTGCCCCTAACTTCTCGAGTTCATTCTTGTCGTTGTCGTGATCCATTTCCGAGCTTAGGGTTTGGGTTTGATTACATTTTTTGGGTTCGATTGGCTTTTGCCCACTCAGAGACAGAGAGAGCGAGAGAGAGAAAAAGAGAGAGGGAGTTTCTAGGGTTTCAAATTTTGAGCCTTTTGCCTGTAATTTTCCCCCCAAATGGAAGGGGTGTGTGCGCGCACCGCGCGCCCTTTTAAATTGATCCCTTCTCAGCAAATATGCAGTAATTAAAAGGGGGAGGCTTTTGTTGGGGCATTTCCTAAATAAGTTAAAATAATAAATTAATTTCCAAACAAGCCTAGTTTTTAAAGAATTCTTAAAATAAGTTAATTTGCGGTTTATAATTGCGATTTCAACATATTTCCGTCTGTCCCGCGCGAAAGTTGAGAAATCTTAAATTCGTGGTTACAAAAAGCGCTTTCGATTAATAAATCGTGGTTACAAAATGCGATTTTAATTAACTTTTCTTTCCTTTGAACTCGCTGTTACAAACCACGAGTTCATCGAAAAAAAATTATGTTCTGAATTCGCTGTTCGCAACCCTGCTTTTGTGAAAAAAAAATTTTGTTCTGAACTCGCTATTTGTAACCACGATTTTATCAAAAACCGTTTTCTTTTGAACTCGTTTTCCCAAACCACGATTTTAGCAAAAAAAAATTGTTCTGAACTCGCTTTTTCTAACCACGAGTTTTGGCCAAATTTTTTTCCATTAAGTGAACTCGTGGTTCACAACCACGATTTTAAAACTTGTATATAATCTCCCCCAGCCCCGTGTTTTGCATTCACGCTTACTCCTCTCTCTGTCGAACTCCCTCTTTTGGCCCATTTCTTGCATGAGAGTTTAGTCATACCTGTGCTGATTTTTGTGGTTTTCCATAAACTGTAAAAGATCATATTTTGGGCCTCTCTTCAACTTTGTTGGAGGACCCTAATCTGTTTGGGGTCATAAGCTGCGAGTTGTTTCGTTATCTCACATTTAGGGCCATTTTTGCATGCTAGTTTTGCCCTATTTGTGCTTGCTGTTTGCCCATGCTTTGAACTGTAAAAATTCTTTTCTAGGGGCTGCCTTGCTTCTGTATTTTCATCTCATGTTCAAATTATGTATGCATTGCATAGCTATAGGCCATTTCATGCGCCAAAATTCATGTTTCGGGACTTGTTCCATGCATCGGGTATCATTTCGCTTTGTTTCGGGGCTGTTTTCCCCCTCGTTTTGCTACTGATTTTTGCTTTCGGGAGAAATTCCATGCATCAGGTGTCATTTCGCCTTGTTTCGGGGCTATTTTGCCCCTCATTTTGCTACTGCTTTTTGCATGTTTGCATATCATATTCCATGTCTTTGCCATGTCTCATTAGAGTGGCATTTCGATGCCTAAGGGTCGGTCCTCGGTTTGCGTGCACACGTGCATGCATTTCGAGTTGTCTTGTTTTCATCTGATGGCCTCCTATGTGAGTGTGGCTGAGGCTCTCTCATGTTGGTGTAAGCCCATTATTGCATTGCGTATGCCATTTCATCCATAACATTGTGTATTACCTTATTGCATTGTGTATGCCATTCCATAACATTGTGTATGTTAGGATTGTATCTTAGTCGCATTCTATGCATGTCATGCATATTGCATCGTGTTCGGGATAGGAGTTAGCCCGGGTACGGAAAACGAGGTACGTTTCGTACTCCGAGTGATGCAACGTGTCTCAATTCCAAGTCACCGACACTCCGGATTACACATGATGGAGTTAGGTTTTGTTGTGTTTATATGTGCATTCATTCTACATTGAATTGCACATTTCGACCCCTCGGCCATCATGCATCGATATGCGTGATTGGTGGCACGAGGATCAAGGCATGCATATATCTGTGAAAATACATTGCTATGTCCCTTTCCTGCTCTCTGTTGCAGCAAATCAAGAATCAACGGTCTTCCGAGGCTTGCACGCATTTCAAGAACAAGTGTAAACAGAGGCTAATTGGGGCATCGTCATGGATTTCCGCGCAAAGGCAACCCGGGCATGCATCATTCATCAGAGTCAAGGCAGTCCCTGGCTTGCATGCCAGTTTACAGCTTTCTTAGTTAATTTGTAAATTAATTAGGAATTTGTACATTATATGGACTGTAATATTTGGACTGTACTATTCTTTCATTTGGGACTGTATTATTTATTCGGACCCTCTGTGCGAGGGCATAATTGTAATAAGTGTGGGTGAGTGTGATGTATGTCTTCCAACCCCACGTCTTTCTTCCCTTTTATTTACCTGCTTATGATGGTTAGATAAGGGCATACTTCAATTAGCATACAGTATGACAGCATGTTTGCATTCATTCATCTGTTTTGCATGCACCGGGCTCGGCGCATCATACTAACTGCATTGTATTTTCAATTCCAAGTTGAATACATGTTAGTTGTAGCATTTCATATGCCATGTTTAGAATAGCCGAGCCTGCTATAGTTTGCATTTTTGCATGTGTTGCATTAGGTATTTCTGTATACTTAGGATCATGCATTATTTCTAATGTAGTTTTTGTTTTGGCTTGGAGTACTCAGTGAGTTTTTATGCTTTAGCATCCTTGCATGCGTGTGAGTGACTGCCATGAATAGCATGCTTACCATGAGGCTATGTGCTTATGTGATATAACTGCCTGAATGCCTGTGGGTGAAGGTTGGGTTATCTAGGTTGGAACAAATCATTGACTGTGAGTTTTAAGCCCACTAGATAGTGGCAAAACCATCTTTTCCTAAGCCCACCTGAGGGTGGCGAAATTTGTATCTTTAAGCCTACTTGCGAGTAGCAAACCATCTTTCAAAAAAAACAAACATGAAATGTTTTGTTCCAATTCAGACGACCTAGTCTATACTTGTATGCTGTGCGCATCACATAGTAATCTAGGCTAATAAACCGGAATAAGAACTCACAATGTTTTCAAAAATAGACATCATGGTTAGTAGAGGCCGATCTTTGATCGGGAGAGC